TATATATATATATATATATATATATATATATATATATATATATATAACACACCTGTATCCCTTGGATAAATACCTAGTAGTGCAGTTGCTGGGTCGTAGGATAGTTCTATTTTTAGTTTTTTGAGGAACCTTCATACTGTTTTCCAGAGTGGCTACACCAGCTTGCATTCCCATTAAATTATACTTTTATATATGTATTTTAATTTGCATAAATAGTACTGTGGTAAAATCTCATTCTATTGCTCAGCATTATATATATTTTTTAAATGTTTATATTTAGAGAGAGAGAGAGAGAGAGAGAGAGAGAATCCCAAACAGGCTCTGTGCTTTCAATACAGAGGGTGACTCGGGGCTTGATCTCACAAACCATGAGATCATGACCTGAGCCGAAATCAAGAGTTGGATGCTTAAATGACTGAGCTACCCAGGTGCCCTCAGCTTTATATTTTTAAGATCCACATAGTATTGCTATTTTCTCCTCTAGTTCATTGCCTGTGTCTACTGCGTGGAATTTTACAGTGTGCACATGGGCCATGATTTGCCTGTCCACTCCTCAGTGATGAGTACCCCAGTTACCTCTGTCTTTCTGCCACCACAAATACTGCTACCAACATCCTTGTACAAGTCGCCTTAAGGACCTGTGAGAGAGTTTCTTAGGGGTGTTTGCTCAAGATTGGAATTGGTGGTTCATTGGGTAGATGGACATTTAATTTGATTAAGTACTGCCAGTCGACTTTCACAGAACAATAGTCCCACCAGATATACACAAGGGCTCTTGAATCTCCACGTTCTTGTCATTTCGTGGCATTAACCAGCTTCCTAAATTTTCCTATTTTGGGGAGTATAAAGTGTTGTTAATTTAATTTGCATTTCCCTAATTAGTGAGTTGGAGCATTTCTTTTATCTTTTTTAGTCTTTTGGCTTTTTAGTCTTTGCTTGGATGTTTCCTTCACCCATTTGCCTATTTGGGTTCCTGTCTCTTCTTGTTAATTTCCAAAACCGTGTGCATGCCTTCCTCACCCTGCTCGGGCTGTTACCCTCCATGGCAGGTCACCTCTCCACCTGGGCTCTCCTTTCACCCTGGTCAGGCTCTGAGTCCCTCCGCAGGGCAGCCCACCTCTGTGTCCACTTCTGTCAGCCCGCTTGGGTCACAGCTTTTCTCTTCTCATTCTGGCACCTACCTTGTCCTGCCCATCTACCAGCATGAGGACTGTATTGCCCAGAGAGGAAAAGAAAGGAAAGGAAGAATAAGAAGAGAAGGAATAAGAGCACCTGCTTGATGTTTAACCTTTCAAATATCCTAATAAATGTGCTTAGTTAAACTATAATTATTCTGTCAAGAGGCACTTTAGCTTTGTGCCACAAATATTGACATGGACTGTTTTCCTTATTTTTCATTTTAAACATAGTAATACATTTTTAGGTTTCCAGATGCATGGGATTTAAGATTTTTGTCTTTTATTACAACATGCTGGAAGTACCTGATCCTTGAGAATTTATTGAGACTTCTTACATGGCTTAATACTGGATTGATTTTGGTAACTGTTCCACGTGTGCTTGTAAAGAATGTGTTCTCTGTTTGTTGGGTATAAAGTTCCATAGATAGTTAATGCTCATATGATTCATATGGTTCAAATTGTCAGTATCTTTGATTTTTTTTCCTTGATTCTGAAAAAGTATGCCAAATTCTCCAAGTATAATTCATTTTATTTATTTATTTACTTACTCACTTACTTATTTATTTTGAGGGGCAGGGGCAGAGAGAGGGAGAGAGAGAATTCCAAGCAGGCTCTGCACTGTCAACGTGGAGACTGACACAGGGCTCAAACCCATGAACCATGAGATCATGACCTGAGCTGAAACCAAGAGTTGGATACTTAACTGAATGAGCCACCCAGGTGCCCCTTTACTAGGGTTTTTTGTTTTCTGGTCATGATTGCATATTATTGTTTTCTAGAAAATAATGTATTTCTTTTAGATTTTCAACTTTTTGCCACTGAATTATAAAATATTCTTTTAGAATTATTTTCATATAATTGCCTCTCGGCCTTTTGGCTAAAATCAAGTGTAGGATTATTTTCATATTTTCTGTATCTATGCATTCTGTATGTTTTTCCTTCCTAATATTATGTATTTTTTACTTTCTCTCTTTTCTCTTTAACCAGGCTTGCTTGGGGCATCTATTTTATTCTTCCAAAGAACAGTTGGTTTTTTTTTTTTTTAATACAAACGTTATTATCTTTTGATTTATATATAGTGAAAATATATGGTATTTTTATTCAATTTTTATCCTTTCTTTTTTTCTGGTACTAATTTTATAAAGTATAGATTATTAGAAAGAATATAATTAAAATCACAGTAATCCTACCACTGTAAGATAAGCAGTGTTAAAATATAGGTATAATTCTAATATTTTTCCATAGAGGGGCACCTGAGTGGTTCAGTCGGTTAAGCATCTGGTTCTTGATTTCAGCTTAGGTCATGATCTTGCAATTCATGAGATTGAGCCCCGGGTCTGGTTCTGAGCTGACAGCATGGAGCCTACCCGGGATTCTCTCTCTCTCCCTTGCTCGCTGCCCCTTCCCCACTCATGCTCTGTCTGTCTCTCTCAAAATAAACAAATAAATACTTAAAAAGAATATTTTTCTATACCTATGTTAACATAATTGGTAGGCAGAGTTTTTCTTAATCCTCCTTCCTTCATTTAGTTGTAGCATTAATATTTTCTTTTAGTAAATATTTTTGAAGCTTGACTTCTAGGGAATGTATAATCAATAATATGTAATTTTTTGGCATTTGCACTGTTACTACTTTTTTGTGTTATAAATAATGTAAAGAATATATTTGCGTATGAATCTTTACTAAATATTTCCTTATGATACATTCCTTGAAAAGCTGATCTCCTCTGTTTCCACCCGATGTTTATGAAATTGTCAACTTACCTGTGCCCTTGTTAGCACTGAGCCACCCCTTTTATTGTCATACTTTATTTTCCAGATTATTTTAATAATGCATATTTATGGTGAAAAAAATTTACTTATATAAGTATTACTGTCTGCAGTTTATTAGACTAGAGTAGATGTGGTATGCTAGTGTGGAACACCACCTTAAAGCACAACTTCTTTATTTCAATACTGTTGATTTCTGCAAAGGAAAACTCTGGGATTAAGAATTCATGGATAGCAGAACATGGCAAGATATCCAAACAGGTAGAGAAAGACAATGAGCAACAAACACTATTGAATATTCAGCAGAATTTGCAGAATGCTACAATTCAAAGATTAGAGGAGAAAATTCAGAAACTTCAGAAACAGCTGAGTGATTTGAAATTGTCAAATAAAAGTATGAAAACTCAACTGACAAGAGTAAACGTCCTTAAGGTAAGTAAAGGAAGTGAGCTTTCAAAGATTCACTTAAGCTTTGGTCTTGTTACTATTTTAGCTGCATGTTTCTCGTTGAATTAAAAAGCATTCTTATATACACACATAAGAATATATATTGGATAATAAAATTAGATGCATGCAAATGTACCATTTATCTTAAGAACAAGAGCATTATCGGGGAGCCTGGGTGGCTCAGTCGGTTGAGCATCCAACTTCGGCTCAGGTCATGATCTCGCGGTTCGTGAGCTCGAGCCCTGCATCAGGCTCTGTGCTGACAGCTCAGAGCCTGGAGCCTGTTTCAGATTTTGTGTCTCCCTCGATCTCTGCCCACCCCTGCTGGTGCTCTCTCTCTCTCTGTGTTTCAAAAATGAATAAACATTAAAAAAAAAATTAAAGAACAAGAGCATTATCAACTCCACTGAAGCCATCATGTATTCTCTTCCCTACTTGTCAAAGGTAACTGGTATTCTAAATGTTAGGATTCTAGAACCCTTGCTTTTTTTTTAATTTAATTTTATTTTATTTTTTTAACTTTTATTTATTTTTGAGAAAGGGAGAGACACAGCATGAACAGGGGAGGGTCAGAGAGAGGGACACACAGAATCTGAAGCAGGCTCCAGGCTCTGAGCTGTCTGCACAGAGCCCGACACGGGGCTCGAACTCACGGACCGAGAGATCATGACCTGAGCCAAAGTCGGCCGCTTAACTGACTGAGCCACCCAGGCGCCCCAGAACCCTTGCTTTTTAAGTTTTATTTTGGTCTTTCTTATTGGGGTAATAGTTAAAAGTTTTACTCATTTTGGGGGCTCCTCTTTGGATCTTCTCCATACCAAGCTTCGCTGTACTATTTCAAGCATACATTTGATTCCTTAAACCAAAGGTGCACTAAATACTTATGGATCAATGTGTTTTTTTCCCATTCTATCACAATATTTATCTTACTGCAAAGCCAGTTATTATCTGTATTTCTGAATTTGGCTAGCAGAGGCTGTAAGACTTTTGAAGGCATGGAATACTAGTTAAAAGTCTTTAAATCCCAAGTGTCTAATTGATACAGGTGCTCATGACTGTTGGTTATTGATGAGTTTGATGGCTAAGAAATGTTCTCTTAATTCATAAATTATGGAATTTTCTTTCTTTTCTGTATATCAGGTAAAAAAAACAAAACAAAACAAGAAGAAGAAGGAAAAGAAGCATGGGTTATACCATGCATCTTGTCTATTATTTAGAAAAGATCTAATCACAGCCATCTCCCTTCCCCCAACCTTATACCCTCACAGGACAAAACAATTGAAAAGCTCAGGCAATCTTTAACAAAAGCTGAACTAACGCAAGGGAAGACAGTTATGAAAACAGACAACTTGAAAACTACATCAGACTCTGCCAAGACAGAGGAAAGAGGAGACAAAGAGAAAGTCCATCAGATGTTAGACGCCGTCAGTCCTGAGCGCTACACAGCAAAGAGCACGCTTGATAAAGTATCAGGACAACAAGAGGTTTGTTTTATTACTTTATTAAGACTCTTTAAGTCGAAGTGATCAACACCCATCTCAACTTAGACTCTAAACCAGACAAAAAGGACGTTGTTGGCTTATGGAATCAAAGGTGAGTTAAACAGCCAGACCTCTGAGAGGGCCCCAGGATCAGCACCTGGAGCCTCATACAGCTCTTTTCACCATCTCTGCTTGGCTTCGCCATGTATGTCAGCTTGCTCGATATTTAGAGATTCTGTGACAGGAGAGATAATCCCAAGAAAGTGTTTTATAAGCCCAGCTTAGATCAAATGCTTATTCCCGGTAAATCCTCCGTGGCAAAGGAGGGGATATATGATTATCTTACGTTAGGTTTGCATACACATCCTCCGATTAACTGGTGACAAGGAGGAAAACGATGTGAGAGATTGGGAGTTCAGGGGAACCCACGTGTCTGGGGCTGAGTCACTTTTAGGAAAAGAGGGTCGTGCTTCTAAATTTGCTTAGATTTCCACTGCATTTACAGAGCACATGTTTTCGGAGAATTTTTTATTTATTTATTTTTTTTTTCAACGTTTATTTATTTTTGGGACAGAGAGAGACATAGCATGAACGGGGGAGGGGCAGAGAGAGAGGGAGACACAGAATCGGAAACAGGCTCCAGGCTCTGAGCTATCAGCCCAGAGCCTGACGCAGGGCTTGAACTCACGGACCGCGAGATCGTGACCTGGCTGAAGTCGGATGCTTAACCGACTGCGCCACCCAGGCGCCCCTCGGAGAATTTTTTAAAGGCTAACTGGTAATTTTGGGCTATTGTGAGATTATATGCCGCCTGTCCATTATTAGTTCTTACAAAATATGTAACTTTAGAGATTACCTTAAGACATTCTTAAAACACAAAATCATGATATGATTTGGCTTTTTCTCTTTTTAAACTTCTGCTTATGTATATTCTTGTTTTTATTCTTCTCGATGTTCCTTATTATATTTTCAGTCAGATCTCTTCTACTTCGGGTACTCTGTAGCTTACTCCTTATCTCTGAGATGACTTTGTCTTGTTCTTGCCTGACTTCAACCTGACCTCACATCTTATCTATGAGACATCTTGGATATCTTTTTTTTGTCCATTTGTATTCTGAATACTGTATTTCTGATTCAAAACAAAGGTTCCCCCCCACCATGTCTGCAAATCCTTGTTTGATATTTAATCCATACCGGGTATTATGTCAAACATGTTTCTTTTGCTTCATGGGAGTTCTTTGAAGGGGGGGGAGTCGTGGCAGATTTTCATCACCTGACTAGTTTGGAGGAGGCTATTTTCTTCTTAAGGAAATTTGGATGGGGGCACCTGGGTGGCTCAGTCGGTTAAGCATCCGACTTGGGCTCAGGCCATGATCTCACGGATTCGTGGGTTTGAGCCCCGCATCGGGCTCTGTGCTGACAACTTGGAGCCTTGGAGCCTGCTTCAGATTCTGTGTTTCCCTCTCTGTCCCTACCCCACTGGCACTCTGTCTCTCAAAAATAAATAAACGTTAGGGGCGCCTGGGTGGCACAGTCGGTTAAGCGTCCGACTTCAGCCAGGTCACGATCTCGCGGTCCGGGAGTTCGAGCCCCGCGTCAGGCTCTGGGCTGATGGCTCAGAGCCTGGAGCCTGTTTCCGATTCTGTGTCTCCCTCTCTCTCTGCCCCTCCCCCGTTCATGCTCTGTCTCTCTCTGTCCCAAAAATAAATAAATGTTGAAAAAAAAATTAAAAAAATAAATAAACGTTAAAAACTTTTCAATACAAAAAGAAATTTGGATGGATATTATTTGCCATTTATCTATTCACTTTAAAATCCTTTTAATTGTCCTGCCCTCTCAATTTTAGGTGTTTCTACTTTACGTAGTTACAGGGCAGGGTTTACTTACTTAGTTTCTTAACTCAATACTACCCTCTTGTGTTGGTACAGTAAGTGCAGTTTCTAAAGTTTACCACCTCAAGTCTTTTACGTTGAAGTGTGGGGGAGGTTTATGTGATGTCTGATTCTGCAGTACACCCTTGTTTATAGAAATCACTCATTTCCCACTGTTTGCTTTTCTCTTTTCCTTTATCTCTAAACCTCCAAGGAACACCTTACCCTTCCAAGTATCTCTTTCTCCCTTCAGAAACCTTGTCCTTTACAACTGCCCATTTCGGCTAATGTGTTTCCAAGGCCCTCTCTTTTCCCTCTCACTTGCCAGGGTTCTGACCCCCTAGGTCTTGGACTTCTCAGTATTTCCTCATTTATGCATTGTCCTATTTCTGGGCCGCCCGTGGAGGCCAGCTGCATCCTTCAGCCTGGGCTCATGATTTGTGGATGATTAGAGCTGCTTTCCTTATAAGGGAGGAGGGGTGGAGACAGATGGATTTCGGGGACTGCTATTACCATACAACAAGTCTGAAATCAAAAAAGGAATTACCTTAGAGATGAAAAGCAGCAATAAAATTAGGTTTAGTCTATAAAGTGTAAAAATAAAATCTTAGGAGCGCTTGGGTGGCTCAGTCGGTAAAGCATCCAGCTCTTGATCTCAGAGTCATGAGTTCAAGGCCCATGTTGGGCTCTGTGCTGGGGGTGAAAAAGACTTAAAAAGAAAAATCTTAAAATGAAAAGGACATTTTCTTTTTTTTTTTTTTTTTTTTAGCGTTTATTTATTTTTGAGGCAGAGAGAGACAAAGCATGAACGGGGGAGGGTCAGAGAGAGGGAGACACAGAATCTGAAACAGTCTCCAGGCTCTGAGCTGTCAGCACAGAGCCCGACGTGGGGCTCAAACTCACGGACCGCGAGATCATGACCTGGGCCGAAGTCGGCCGCTCAACCGACTGAGCCACCCAGGCGCCCCTGAAAAGGACATTTTAAATAAAGAGTTCTTGTAATAGAAGAGACCACTTTTCTTTCTTTCTTTTTTAAATGTTTTTATTTATTTTTGAGAGAGAGAGAGCAGAAGAGGAGCAGAGAGAGGGAGACAGAGGATCCAAAGTGGGCTCCGTGCTGAGAGTGGGAGAGCCCCATGTGGGGCTTGAACTCATAAACCATAAGATCATGACCTGTGCCAAAGTCCGACGCTTAACCCACTGAGACACCCAGGCACTCCAAAAGAGACCATTTTTCTATATTAAAAATACAATTTGAATGTAGAATGTTACATTTCATAGAGAAATGTTTAATAAGACTACATTTCTGATACCGATTTTATTGTACATAATATGTAGGTGACTGAAACTAATGGTATGACTTAATGTTTTGGGTGGTTTTTTGTAGCTGACTGATTTTCGAGAAACTATTATGAAGATGTTGGGATTTAACATGAGAACAGCAGACAAGGAAATCATCAATCACCTAAGGCTTATTATACAAGATTATAAAGCATCTGACAAATCAAAGGTTGCTTCTCACTCTGAGACTGGACAGGATAATGAATAAAAAAGTTCTGTCTTTTTCATTACTCCCAACAAGAACTCCGTAGATACGGGCATCTCCTGTAGCATCTTGAATGCAGCTATGTTATGAATAAAATGCACTAGGAATTTCTCACCTTTGATATTTGGCATTTAACTTTTCTTTGTCATTGTCGTGTTCTACACATTTATTTATGGTCTAGTCTAGATTGTTACTTGCAATATACAATATCTAATTATATTTATTATTAATTGTATTTTCAGCAGGGTATTAATCAGGACTTGTGTTCTTAGTTGTAATATTTATATTTATAGTTAACAGCCTATTTATTTCTAGAGTGAACAATTTCCTGGGTATACCCGCTTACAAATCCAGGTACAGTTGTGTTCTATACTTTGAATCTGTCTTATCTATTTGATTAACTGAGAGTGTGAAAACCAGATACGAAAAGTTGAGTGGCAAAAAAGTAATTAAGAATACTTACTTTTTAAAGGCTTTTTAAAAAGTTTATTTATTTTGAGAGAGAGAGAGAGAGAGAGAGAGAGAGAGATCAAGTAGGGGAGGGGCAGAGAGGGAGGGAGAGTGAGAATCCCAAGAAGGCTCCGCACTGCCACTGGGGAGCCCCATGCAGAGCTTGACCTCACAAACTGTGAAATCATGACCTGAGCCAAAATCGAATTCGAGTCAGACACGTAACTGACTGAGCCACCCAGCCACCCTAAGGTTAATGGCTACATTTTAACCAATTATAATTTCTTGGGGTGCTGAGTGGCTCAGTCAGTTGAATATCTAACTCTTGATTTCAGCTCAGGTCATGATCCCAGGGTCATGGCATCAGGCCCCATGTTGGGCTCTGCTCTGAGCATGGAGCCTGCTTGGGTTCTCTCTCTTCCTCTCTCTGTACCTCCCCCGCTCATGCGTGTGGGCTATCCCGGAAATAAAATGAGGGTGCCTTGATGGCTCAGTCTTTGAGCATCTGACTTGGCTCAGGTCATGATCTCATGCTTTGTGAATTCGAGTCCCACACTGGGTGAGCAGGAGCCCCAAATTGGGTGAGGCTGCTTCTCAATCTCAATCTCTCTCTCTCTGTCTCTGCCCCTTGCTTACTTACACCCTCTCTCTCTCAAAATACATAAATAAACAGTTATTATAATTATTATTTATTTCATTTAAAATAGGAAACTGTTCCTCTTCCAAGGTAGTTTCAGACTTATCCAAAATGTCCTCCATAGGAACAAGTCAGAATCTGGACCCTCAGTATCTGCTGTGGTCATCTAAAAATATCTCCTGTGGAGCTTAGTTTTAGAAGAATCTTCAAGGTGGAAGGAGTCAGGTTATACTGGAACTTAGAGAGGTTGTACTTTGGAGAAAATGATTATCTTGAATACTCAATCAAGGACTGTTATGCCCAGAATTCGTGATCCCCAAAGACAACTAGGGAGCCCAGCCCAATGCAAAAGCAAAAGAGCCTTTATTCGACCTAGCTCGAGCTCAATCCCCTACCTGCACCGACACAGCCGTGAGAAGCCGGGGGTGGGGAGCGAGTTTCAAAAGGACAAAGGTTTTATTGGGGCCTAGGGGCAGTTGGTGAGGTAATGGCTGTGGCCTCAGCCAATTGGCTGGGGAAGGGTCGGGGTCCTGTTACGCAGGTCGCGGGCGTGTTTTGATCGGAAAGTTTGAACCGGTGAGCGGGAGGTTACTCAAGGGGAAGAGGCGTGGTCAAGGTGAAGGACACAGAACAAGATGGAGTTGGTAGGCCCGCCCTTTCAGGACAAAATGAGAATTGCTCAGTTCTAAATGGTCATGGCTGTGGTTCTCACATTGTGTGACAGGACACTCTGGTGTACTGCAGGGATCGTAGCATGCCATAGCTTATTTCAATTAAAAACCTTTTTTTTAAGGGGCGCCTGGGTGGCTCATTCGGCTGAGCATCCAACTTCAGCTCTGGTCATGATCTTGCGGTTCATGAGTTCGAGCCCCACGTTGGGCTCTGTGCTGACAGCTCAGAGCCTGGGGTCTGCTTCAGATTCTGTGTCCCCCTCTCTCTTCACCCCACCCCTGCTTGTGCTCTGTTTCTGTCTTTCAAAAAATGAATAAACATTAAAAAAATGTTTTTTTTAATTTTTTTTTTTATTTTAGAGAGAGAAAGAGTCTGCAAGCAGGAGAAGGGGCAGAAGAAAAGAGAGAGAGAGAGAGAGAGAGAGAGAGAGAGAGAGAGAGAGAAGGAGGGAGAATCTTAAGCAGGCTCCACTTGATCCCATGATCCTGGGATCATGACTTGAGCCAAAATCAAGAGTTGGACACTCAGGGGCACCTGGGTGGCTCAGTCGGTTAAGCGTCGTCTTCAGTTCAGGTCATGATCTCATGGTTCACGAGTTTGAGCACCACGTCGGGCTCTGTGCTGACAGCTCAGAACCTGGAGCCTGTTTCGGATTCTGTCTCCCTCTCTCTCTGCCCTCCCTCCCCCCCATCATGCTCTGTCTCTCTCAAAAATAAATGAAACATTTGAAACAGTTAATAAAAAAAAAGAGTTGGACGCTCAACCAACTGAACCACCCAGGCACCCCAGAATATTTCAAATTTTAAGGGAAAACAGTGATATATGACATTTGCCAGGAAAATACTTGAACTATCAGCTCCAAGTAGTTTCATAGTTTCAATATTGGATCACTCTTCATTCCTTTTGATATCATATCTTTGTGATGGAAACTGCCCGAGGCTTCTCAGGACACATAAATTTGATGCCAAGCAGGGGCCAGTAGTTGGTGGAATCACTGCCTGGGAAGTTGACTCCAGGCTTCTGACTGCAAAGCAAGCAGCTCACTTAGCTTTCCTGTCAAGATTGCCTTGGGCCCTGGCAAAACAGGAAAGGCAGGGATGCCCTGTCCAGAGCTTCCACCCGCAGCCCAACCTGCTGAAGCTGTAAGAACCACCTTCTTGTTCAGGATCCCCCCAGGGCCATGGCCCAAGGTCAGCACCTGCTGTGGCTTCAGCAAACAGGGCTGGGGGGACTGTATCCCCTGCTGCCCAGAGCTCCCCTTTTCTGAGGAGTTGTGAATACTACCAGTGCCTAAGGTCATGATTTCCATGAAAATAAAGGTGCCAAGGTGTGGCAGTTTCTGAAAGAGCCACTTTATAAACACATTAAAGAAAGATCTTCTGTAAATACAAAGAGGCCTTAGCCTTAATGCTGCTTTATGAATTGTGTCAGTAGTAACTGATTGTTCAGCCATGGAGCAGTGTAAAAGGTTAGCTATATTAATCTTTTTTTTAACTTACACATACTTGATTGAAAGCCTATATGGTACATATGATGTTTGATATAGTTGACCTCAGCTTTTTTTTTTTTTTTTAAAGTTTATTACTTTATTTTTAGAGAGACACAGCGAGCAAGCGGAGGAGGGGCGGGGGGGGGGGGGGGACAGAGGTTCCGAAGTGGACTCTGGGCTGACAGCAGCAAGCTTGACGTGGGGCTCGAACTCACACTCACAAACCGTGAGATCACCCCTTGAGCATGAAGTCAGACAATCAACTGAGCCACCCATGTGCCCCTAGTTGACCTCAGCTTTGTTCACACTGACTTCAGTGAGCTGCATTTGGGCTTTCTGTGCTTAACATCGCTTACTTGCTGCTGTTGTCATTGGTTTGTTTCATTTCAGGAAAAGGGTGGGTACTTTCAGGAAAAATCATATTTTTAATTCCTTCTCTGGCAATTCTTTCCTGGATTCTTAGCTTTACATAACTATACCTACAATGGGACCAGCATCTTAAAGGCATGAAGATGAGTCTTACTCCAACATCACATGATCTTCTAATTCAACTAGTTAACAGGAAATGTCCAGCCACAAGAGACACCAATGAACTTGGTGATAATCAGATCCTGTGCACAGGAAATGTTTTTGACATCTAACATTCCTAGGAGCTTAAAAGGCTTCCCTTTAGTAGACCCGCTGGGCTTCAGTGCATCAGCCATGGACTCCAGTGGCCCCCTGTGGCCCCTGGCTATGCTAATTCTTTTTTTTTTTTTTTTTCTTTTTAGCTATGCTAATTCTTGAGTAGACAAGGGAGAAGGACCCTTCTAGCATCCGGAACTGTCTTTATGAGAACTGCTTTCAATCCTGTGGTCAAATCACTACCACATTCTTCAATGATGAGAACTGGGTTTAGCTTTAAGGCTTCAGATAAGTAGTTCTCAACTTCAGGATGTATCAGAATCATCTAATGAATTTAATTACCACTGTGCCACCCCCGCGCCGGGGGGGGGGGGGGGGGGGGGGGGGGGGGGGGGGGGG